TTTCTAGAAATTTTTTATTTTATTTTTATTTTTTTAAAATTTTTTACATGTTGGGCATTTTTAAAAAAAAAAATTAATGTTTAATGTTTTGTATTTTTTATTTGTTTTATTATTTTATATTTATTTTATATAAAAATAATTTAACAATCCCTACACTACCAACTACCATCGAAACAAACATAATTTTACTTAATCCCCTCACTATTAATCCCCTCACTAACAATCTCTTCATTATTAATCCTCTCACTATCAATCTCCTCCATTCTACCTCTAAAAATTAGGGTGTTGGGATTGAGATAAAAGAAGTGGAGATGATGTTAGAAAATTAGTCCCATGGAATTAGATTTTTTTGTTTTTTATTTTTTATTTACATGTTGGGCATTTTTTTTAAACATTAATATTTAATATTTTTGTATTTTTTTTAAGTAAAAATCATAATTTTATTTGTTTTAAAATTTTATATTTCTTTTCTAGGGTAATAATTTAACAATCCTCACATTAACAACTACCATCAAAGCAAACATAATTTTACTTAGGCCTCGTTTGGGAACAGGCTAATTTAGTAACTTTTTAGCTATTTGGCTAAAAAGGAAGGAAAAAAAAAATTATATGTTTTGGATGACTTTTTGACTAATTACGAAAAGATGTGCAAAAAGTAGAGAGAAAAGTGAATCTTTGACTTTTTGGTATTAATTTGTTGGCTTTTTGGCTAAAATGGTAATTTTTTGGCTTTTTGGCTAAAAAAGTAAGTCCCCAAACGGGGCCTTAATCCCCTCACTATCAATCACTTCCATTCTATCTCTAAAAACAAACGGAACCTCAAATCTATATAGCACTCATTTGGCATATAGTTGGGTTGGATTTTTGGCTAAAATTGTCCCCCAAAAAAAAAATAAACTAAAAAATCAATAAGACAAAATATCACATCCAAATTATAATCATTTCATTTTTTCTCTCACAAAAATCAAAAAAATCAAAAAGTTCATCCCAAACTAGACTTTTTAACTCGAGGTCAAAAAGTCAATCCACATCTCAAACAAAACCTAATATAGCAAGAAAGTTTTTGAAAATGTCCAAAATGTACCAGAGATATATTTTGTTTCAATGATTCAGATTGTCACATCCAAAATTCAATCGTTGAGATGTCTTTATTTTTCCCCCAAATGCTCTCACTCTCTCTCCTCTTAAATCATCACTCAGCAAAACCTCTTTGCTCTCTCTCACCTCAAAATCTAAGCCCAAACCTCTCTCTCCTCTACCTCTCCCCTCTTTGTCCTCCACCTCTCCTCTTGCGACGCTCCCACCAACTACCACAACCACCAACCACCCCACCACCACCGCCTCTCATCTTCTCTCGCTCTCATTTTATCGTCTCTCTTCTCTGGTGGCTGTTCATCCGGCCAAATGAAAATGGCCTCATCCCCATTCTCTCTATCTTTTCTCTCTGAAATCTAATCTCTCTCCCTATACATCACCACTCTTCATTCTTTTTATTAAACCCATCTTATTTGCTACCCATCTCATTTTCTCTCTCTCAGATTTCCATTCGCCCAAATCCATAATTAATTTTTGTGACGCCCTCAAAATAAACCCATTGCATACATTGCGTCCTCCACAATTGATTAATTAAACCCATCACCCTTCCCAAATTTTTTTTTTTTTTAATCACACTCATGTTGTTCTCTCTCCCACCACACTTATCTCATTATCTCTCACAGGTCATTTGTTTTTTTCTATCTATCCAAGTTAAGACCCAAACGCCAAGAGATGCCCTACCTCTTTCAAACCCACAACACTTTTTTAATATTTCAACCTTTTCTTTTTTCTTTTTTTTCTTCACCCCACCTAGGCATATCTCTCACGAGTCCGGATCCTCTCCAGCTTTCCTCTCCTGCCTCCCTATCGGGCAACGGTCTAGATTGGACCACAACATCCCATTCAAAATGTGCGGCTGAGATTAGTTTTAAAAAAAAAATTAACTCACTGACAACACGTCCCACCATTCTCTCTCTCTCTCTCTCTCTCTCTCTCTCTCTCTTATTTCTAATAAAAAATTAAAAAAACTATTTTAATTTTTTTATTTTATTTTCATAAGATATACTTCTTTTGTCCCAAAATTTAGTCCCTTATTTTATTTTTTATTATCTCAAAATATTAGTCTACTTTCAAAAATTAAGGACAAAAATAATATAAATTTTCTATTTTGTCATTCTTTTAAATTCATTAATAATATAAAAAGTATAATTATGACAATTAATATTCTCTAAAAAAATATACTATCAAAGGGCAATTTTGAAAAATTAATTTTTTTAAAGTGCAATAATTGTGCTATCAAAAAAAAATTAAATTCTTCAAAAGGAACTATTATTTTGGGACGAAGAGAGTATATATATAATCTTTAATATGAAATTTTGATTTTATTATTTCCAGTAAAAATTTCAAAAACCGTTTTAATCGTTTTCATTTTATTTTCATAAAACATATATATATATAAATATACATATAATTCTTAATATAAAATTCTAATTTTATAAAATTAGTATTATTGAAAATATACAATAACGAAAAAGTGTATTTGGTTTGCACCTATACATAGATTAAGGCCAAGTTTGGGAAGATTAAATAAGTGTACTTTTTTGACTTTTTTTGTATTATGTGTAGAAAAAGTAGAGAGGAGATGTTGATTGATGTAACCCAAAAAAGATAAAAAGATGAAATAAATACACTTTTTTAGGTTAACCAAACTTGGCCTAAATTTGTGTTTTAAAGAAAATAAAAACATATTTGATTTGCACCTATGCACAGATCGAATCTGTGTGTTTTTTTATTTCCTTTAAAAAAAATTATAAACTTGTTTGGTTAATAAAATGGTGGAACATGTTGTTAGTGAGAGAATGGTGGGACATGTTAGTGAGTTAATTTGTTTTTTTATTTTTTAAGCTAATTCCATCGGCACATTTTGAATGAAATGCTGTGACCCAATCTGAAAAAAGCTAGAGAGGGTCCGGACTCATCTCTCACGATTCATTATTTTTATTTCTATAACCCGGGCAAGTACCACTTGTATGTAACTCACTCACCTTATCCCACCATTTTTTTTTTTTTTTGACAAATTATTCACCTACTTTTGTCTCCTCATATTTACCCCCAACTTTTGTCCCACCAACTTTTGAAAAGTTGAAGCTTCAACTCTCTGCTGGAAGCAAAGAGTTCAATGTACAAAACCCAAAGCAATAATGCAAGCATGACTTCGAGCAATGTGTGGTGGGGGTGACAGATCCCACGGGGGTTTGTCTCCCTCCAAAATGTTTTATTTTATATTATTCAATTTACTAATTGCTACAATAAAATTTATAATATCCTAAAATTTTGTAACATAAATCATAATTTTATCTCACCATAAATCATAATAATTTTATGTCAAAAAATATTTGTGGCAAAAAAAAATTTTGATTGTCAAAGTTGAACTCAAAGTTACAAAAAAATGAAAAAAAATGCTTACATTTATTAAGAAACGTAACATCATTAGAAATGTTTATATTTATTAAAACACATAACTATCATTTTCACAAAAAAAAATCAAAAAAAAAAAAAAAAAAAAAGTGATTATGTGAAAAATGTTTTTTTGTTTTTGTTTTTTGGAGAATATTTTTTTTTGGGTTAGACAAATGTGAACACAAAATTTAAATTGAATTCTGTTAAAATATAATCTTTTCACAAGGCAAGTGAGAGAGAGAGAAAGAGAGATAATGAAGGTGGCATGATTTGTTTAAAGACTAAAAAAAGAATTTTTTTTTTTTTTTACAGAACTTTTTTATCCACCTTAATGAAAAAGCCCATGAGAGACATTTTTACAATAATTTTTTTTTTTCAATTTCTACTTTAATTTTATTGGGTGTCTTTTTATCAAGTAATTTTACAAAATTTATTTAAAAGTCGAAACAAGATCTATATTTATAGTTTGACCTCAAATTTTTAACAACGAAATTGATAAATTATATTTTAATTTAACAATTGTACTTTTAGTTATATTTTAATCTCATAATTTAAGGATATGCAGGACCACTAAAGCTACTGTCCAAAAAAAGTAAAAAGAAATTTGTCCATATTTCAAACCTGCAATGGAGATTCAAGAGGTGTTTTTTTACGTCCATGCATAAAATAAATTTAAATAATGTTGAATAAAATTGAGATATTTATTCACGACTTTTTTTTATCTATTTTGTTTAAATTATTTTTTTATATTCCAATAAATTTTGTGAACGACATAGTTACTAAAATATTTTTAATAATAATAAGGTAAAGTGCATTAATGTTAACAGTGTGAATGTACCGTAATGTAAATATTCACACTATTCACACTGTCAAATATAACTGTTCACATCACTAATTTGTTAAGGGTTTAAAAAATCTTTGTAAGTGTACAATTGTTCAAAAAATACCTTAAATTTGAGAATTATGATTTAGTGAATCAAATGTCCAAATAATAAGACTTAGAATACAAGAATATGTTATGTATTAATTAGAATACAAATACTTCAAATAAGATTTCCTAATAAATTTCCCAAAATTTTGAGTATATATTTATAGTATTATTCGGTCCAGACACACAACTACACCCATATTCATACTATCAATGTAATATACTAACATAGCTTTCGTTGAATGAATGCAAATTTCAAACAAGGAAATAACACTGTATTTGGATATAGATTTCAATAGAAATTTGAAAATAAAAGAGAAATGAAAAAAAAAATTAACTTATATTTTATTAACAATTGTCTCACCTTTTTCTTTTTTTCTTTTTCTAAATTCATACCTAAATCTATGATTCAAAGAGATTGATTTGAAAAAGAAAAAGGAACTTAGGTAGATTTTTACCTCTCAAATGATGTCAAGAATAACCCGATCTAGATATGAATGATAAAATTCCAACACCATCAATCTTACTCAATCTGGAGTCATGGTGAGATAGAGAGATTCAACTTTGAATGAAGGGTGTACAGAAAAGAAAATTCTGCACAAATATAAAAAAATCATGAAGGAGGTAACACTTTACTTTAATCATGTCTTTTGATGCCAAGAAGATCTATGAAAATATTCATAGAAAAGAGTACATAATTTAAATAAATAAGTCCGCAAAATAAAAAGAAATACCTCTAAGATCTCAAGATTTTAGCACCATGTGAGATTTTAAATATCTTTCCTTGTCACCAACAAGATTCACAAGAATTTCCAAATCAGTATTCTTCAGCTTTGCATAGCTTAATGTCTTACCAAACCTTAACAATAAAAAAATTGAAAACTATAGCTTTTGCAAAATGTATTTATCAAATTGAAACAGAACATGATCAACCCATGAAAAAAGAGAAATGAAACAATAACTATCAGTCAAAGTTTTGATGTAAAAGTTTATAGTGGTTTGTTTAAACGAAGGATGAGACGAAACAACAATAATTTAAGCAAAGAATAGCTCACCTTATCTTTTTGCTCACCTATCTGCAGATCTTGCAAATAAGTAATGAATAGAAGAAGAAATATATATATATATATCGCACGTTTAGGTTGACTGAGATTGTTAGGAAGAGGTTAAAAAAATTGTGTTTATTTGATAAATAGTAGATTAATAATAGTTTTTATTTATTTTGAGAAATAAGAATAAGATTAATTATGTAAAATTTTAAAAATACCCTTATTGTATTATAATCAAATTTGGATTTATACCAACTAATAAATGCATTAAATATTTTAATATTAAAAATTATATTTCATAAATATATTTTTTTGGGTACTATTTTATTATTTTTTAATATAATTTTTTTTGGTATAAATATTATTTTATACTATTATATTTTTATATTAAAAATTATTTTTATATTAAATTATTTTGATATAAAGAATGGAGTAAAAAATAGTGGAATAAAAAAAAATAGTAAAGAAAAGACCAAATTAATCAAGTAGAGTAAGTAAATTAGGTAGGATAATAGAGGGCAAAATAGTAAATCGTCCTCTAATTCCAAGGGATTGTTTTTCTAATATCATCTCCCATGAAAAATTACTAATCTCATCCTAGAGACCTATCATAGTCCCAAAGTATTGTGAATCTCCTTTCCCATTTCGTAAACAAACACAATATTAGTGGACCCCACATCCATCTTAATCCGATCTCACTTCCTATAACCCCAAAAAAGGGGACCATGATATACTTAACATTTATCTAGAGCCAAACACGCTCCTAAGTTAAACTTCACTTAGAATATCTAAACTCAATTCCAAACTTGATTGTAGGTGTGACCAAACACCACCTTTTAAAAAAAAAAAAAAATGCAGATCTTTATTTTATTTTGTCTTCATTCTTCTCTCTCTAACTTCTCTATACCTTTCTCTTATTTTCCCTTACTTTCTTGTTGGCCAAACACCCCACATTTGCTCCACCCTTACACCATCACCTCAACCCACCATCTCTACCACGGCCGGCCATGTTACCTCATCGGAAAAAGCTCTGATCACTCACTTCTCTTTCTTCAAAAATAGCACAATAGAAATTCCAACTCTAAAATTTTCTTAACCTCTTGAAGGATCAAAGCTTGAATTTTCTTTTCTTGAGGGATTAGAGGCTTTTAGGGGCTATTTGGCATACACTATATAGGTGTACTTATTTAGATAACTACATTTATTGGATCACATCATCTCTTTATTTTTCTTTACATATTTTTGTAAAAAGTCAAAAAATGTACTTATTTAAATCATCTCAAATACCCCTTTAATTGGTAAGAATATCTGTCTAAAAGGTTTAATTTAATGTTTTACATTTTTAGAGTTTGAAATGGTGATTTCTAGATTTATGGTGATTTAGTTTTAGTTATTGAGTTTTATACTTGTATTTAGGCCTCATTTGAAATGTGCTATTTTAATAATTTTTTGATTTTTTAACTAAAATATGAGATTAAAAAAAAAACACTAATATGATTGGAAATAATTTTTTAACTTTTTAAAAAAAAAAGTCAAATAAAATATTTTATGAAATCAAAAAATTGGTAAATTGACAAGATAGACTGAAATGGGATGCATCAAGTGGGGCTTCGGTTGTTGAGAAACCATAAATATCGAACTTCACCATTTTTTTAAAACTGTTAAAATGACGTCATTTTGGCATGTTTTGCACTCAAAACGACATCGTTTGGGCAGTTTTGAACCATTGTGGCCACAAAAATTGTGGCTCTCAAACATTTTCCTTTTTTTATTCCCAAAAAATCCTACGCAGTTTATGTGTTACAATTTTATTCAGGTTCCAATTTTTGGAATGTAATAATTTTATTCAAAAACTTTTTGAAAAATTCTTTTTAAAATTCATAACTAATTTTTTTTTTAAAATTTCATTCAAAATAAATATTTCAAAACTCCATTCCAAAACTTTTTTCAAAACTCATAACTAAACTCTCTGCAATACTCTATTTCCCCCCCCCCAAAAAAAAGAAGTAAAAAAACTATAATTTTAATTTTGTTCTTTCAAATTAAATTTTTTCTACTTTTGTGGAATCTTGTTTTTTGCAAGAAATATTTTTTTGGTCTACTATTTATGAAGAAAAATCTTTTTTATTTAATTTTATTCAAAAAAATATTTTCTTATTTTTGGCCAAAATTTGTTATGATTTTCGTATTAGCCAAAAAATATGTACCCAACTCTTGAATAAAATTAAAAAAATTTGTAAATATTTAAAAAAAAATTATTGAAAAATATAATTCAAAACTTTTTTCAAAACTCTCGAGGAAACTTATAATCAAACAAGTTTTCTCCTAAAAAAAATTATTTGAAAAATTATCTTTTAAAATATAACTCCACACTCAAAATTTCAATTCAAAAACCAAACGGAGAGCAAAATAAATAAATAAATAAATAATTTGTTCACTTTAATTATTATTTTTGTATTCCTCTATATTGGTTTTGACATTAAAACATTTAAAAAAAAATTAGAGACTGTGTTTGGTTGTATTCTGTAAATGTATTTTCACCCCTCCATTTCAATTTTATGTATAGATAGAGTTTTCAAAATATAATTTCACTACACATTTGAAAATGTAATTCTTTTTCCCGTTTGGCAGATTCCTCTCCGTTTCCTTTTCTCCACTCTTCCCAACGTACATATTCTCTCTCTTTAGTCTTCTCCATTTCTAAAAAACTTCACATTGAAGATGCTTCAGAGCTGATACGTATATCCTTCAATAGATCTGGTGTGGAATAACTAAGAAGGTGGAATGAGTTTTCTGATTTAAGCAAAACTAGCTGAGCCGGTTGTCCACGCGGGCTTCCGGCCGATCGATCGCCACTCTTTGATAGATGATAAACAAGCATGTCTTCAGTCCCTGAAGCTTTCATCAAAAGAGAGACAGAGAGAGAGAGTACAGTAGTAGAAATGGTGTAAAGTCCCACTCATTCATAACCCAACTTCGCTTCTTCTATTCTGGTACTTGGAAAACTTCAAACCCCTCTACACTTTGCCTTGCCTGAAGAAACTCTACACTCTCTGTTTCTCTGTCTCTATATATGTATATGTATATCTCTTTCTTATATTAACAGCACATCAACACTTTGAAGAGAGGTGGGGCCAGAGACAATGGGTGTGTTGTTGGGTAGAGAACCCACAATTTTATATTACAAACTAGCCTATCGCCCGTGCTATACACGAGATAATTATAGATATTTATATTTGTTTTAAATTTTTTTTTAATATACAAATTATGTTTTTTAAGATTCTTTATAAAAATAATTTAACAATCTTATCACTAACCACGGTGTATATGAGAAATTAAAAATGCTACTACAGTAACTATGCACAGGTTGTATATATAATTATTTGTATTAGAAGATTTTAAATGTTGATTAGGGATTATGACCAAATCAATAAATGCAAGTATGTGGAAAGACATGTGGATTGAAAAAAAAGTTAATAAATGCTGATCAGAAGATTTTGACCAAATCAATAAATGCTGAGTTTTTTTTTTAAATAAAAAATTTAGAAAATTAAGGTTGGGAGATTGGAGCTCTATGTGAATTGTTATTTTTAAATTTATTTATTGATTTAAATGTCTTCTTTTTTTCCTTTTTATATTATATTAAAGTTTAATATTTTGATAATAATCATATGTTTTGGACTTTTCAATGAATTAAATGTCTATTTTTTTATTATATTATATTAAAATTTAATATTTTGATAATAATCATATGTGTTGGACTTTTCAAGAATTTTTTTTTTATACTTATTCTTAATGCATTAAAGTGTTATTATGAGAGATAATAATCATGTGTTGGGACTTTTCAAGGAATTTATATGTGTTGGATTTCAAAGAATTTTTTTTGTGCTTGTTTTTAATGCATTAAAGTCTTATTATGAGGGTAAGACTTGGAAGTTGGAAGAAGTTAATAAATGCTAAGTTCTTTTTTTTAAATCAAAAAATTAGGAAATTTAGATTGGGAGATTGGAGCTCCCACAAGGCTTAGGGTTAAAAATCCCCTTTTGCTTAATATATAGTATAGATCGGATGACCAAAATACTAGAAATCGGATGAATTTTTTTTTTAAATTAAATTAAAAACATTTTGAATAAAAAATATAATGAAATAGCTTTATTAATGCATGATTTTCTTATATGTATTTATTATTATTATTTGATAATTTTTTGGTTATGTTGATGATTTTTTTTAATATTTTCAATTAAAAAATTGATTAATGTTATTTTTCGTTAATAATTAATTTTTTTAATTGAATTTTTAAAAAAATTTGGTTATGAATGTTGATCAGAATTTTCAATAGAGTTTTTAAGTAGTGTGTTTGGTTATGAATTATAACAATTTGAGTTAAGTTTTGAAAACTCTTTCTAAAACTCATAACCAACCAAATTTTCTTATTTCACATGTCACATCAAACATTAAAAACTCAATTCTAAACTCTTTTCAAAACTCATAACCAAACAAATTTTCTACACTCAAATCATAATTACGAAACTCACAAACTCAAAATACAACTATATTCTCAAATCATATTTAGAAAATTCTACCAAACGCTACTAGAGTTTCTCTATTAGTGTTGTGTTGCCTTGTTAAATGAATTATGAAGCCCATCCCTCTCTTTGCTCATCTTGTTTGATGTAACAAGTCTGTTGAAGTGTTGCAACTGAACTCTGCTTAAATCAATCCATCAATTGTAGGTTTTGACATAAATGAGGGGTAAAAAGGTCATTTTATCAAACCTGTTGCAGACACCATGTGATTTGAATTTTATAAATAGGTTTATAGGGTAAGATAGTAGGCTTTTTTGGTTTTTTAGTGATTTTTTGACTTTTAGGTTAAAAAGTTGTGTGGCCAAACGAGACCTTAAGAGTTATTTGGAATGATCTAAATAAGTATACTTTTTGACATTTTATAAAAAGATATATAGAAAAGTATAGAGGTAATGTGATCTAAATAAGTGCACTTGTTTAGTTTATGCCAAACAAATAGCAAGTTCGGTACGATGGAATGGGTTGCAATGAAATGTCCATTACAGCTTTGCATTCCCTTTTTCTTATTTGGTATAT